GGTTGTTAGCCAGAGGCCACCCTCAGCTACTAGAGGATGCCCACAGTTCTTTACTACATAGGATTGCCCAACGTGGCCACTTGCTTCTTCATAGGGAAGGAAAGACTCTAGCAAGATGGGCACTGCAGTTTTATGAAAGGTAATCACACACTCATGTGAGCATAATCACATTTATTCTGCCACGTTTGCTCTGTTCTATTCAAGTCACAGGTCCTGTACTTACAGGGAGGGCATCCAACAAGAGCAAGAACGTCAAGAGGCAGGAATTATGAGGGCTACCCTAGGAATCTGTCTGCCACAGTGGGTATGGGAGCTATCTACCAAGCTGAAGGTGACCGCCAAGGTGTGCCAAATAGATATCGGCAACACACTGCCAGGGCCTGCTATAAATCTCTATCCTAAACTGCTCTTGAATTTCAGATTTATATATTCAACAGGCTACTTAATATCTCCTCTTGGACAGCTAATAGACATCTTGTCCTTAACACATCCCAAGCCAGACTTAATTCTACTCTTCCACACCACCAGTAACAAATAGAAAAAATCCTGTGTTCTTTCAGTTATGAAAATCCTGGAGTTGTCTTTGATTCCTCTCTTTCTCTTATAACTCTGTTGGTTCTGTCCTCAAGGTATATCTAGAACCTGGCCATTTTTTACCACCTCTACAGCTATCAAACTGGTCCAAGCCACCACCATCTCTGGCCTATTTCTAGACTTTAACCCCTGCAGTAAGCAGCTAGAGGCATCCTGTTCCAACAGAAGTCAGAACATGGCAGTTCCCATGTCAAAAATCCCCCAGAGGTTGCCCAAGTTTCCCAGAGTATAGGCCAAAGACCTAATATGCCTTCAAGCCCTAAATGCCCCTAACCGCAATCCCTCTGGCCCATGCCCCACTGCTCTCCCCTCTTCACTCGACTCTAGCCACACTGGCTGCCTTGCTGTTCTTTGATCATGCTGAGCATATTCCTACCTCAGGGGCTTTGTACTTGCTCTTCCCTCTACTAGAACACTCCTCATCCTGATAGACACATGGTTCGCTCCCTCAGCTCCTTCTGGTCTCTGTTTAAATGTCCCCCTCACTAGTGAGGCCTTCCCTTACCACCCGACATAAAGCAGCACCGTATCCCCCTTACTCCATTTCATTTCCCTCCATAACACTTATCCCATAATGTGACATATTGTATAATTATTTTTGTATTTATTTATTATTTCTCATCCCTGACTAGAATGTAGGTTCCATTAGGTTAAGGGCTTTGTCTTTTTTATTCATTATTGTATGGTCTAGATACAGCCTTGAATGATGCTTCACATGTAGGAGATGCACAATAAATAATTGTTGAAGGAATGGAATTCTGTATCCCAGAAGAGACCTTAGAGGTCATCTGGTCTGGTCTCAACTCAGAGAAGGGACCACACTGCCACACATTTAGTGAGTGGTAGAGCTGGGACAAGAACCCAGGGCTCTTTTTTCTGTTCCATTGCTCTTCCCACTTCCCTACTTTCTACTCATCGCTAGAAACTCAACACTGATAACTGATAGTTAAGTAAAATAATAGGGAATAGTACTGAATGTGTTCCTGAATACTTACCAAATAAAACCACGCTGCTCTTTTAATCTATTAACTTATCATCCAGAGCAAATGTCAATGGTGAGTAGCAGGGGGCGAGGCATGAGTTATTATAACTGATAAAGCAGCAGGTTGCTGATCAAGTGAGCCATTGCCCTGCCCCAGAGAACAAAGGTCTGAGTTGTCTGCAAAGGTAAATGACTCTGGTAAAGAACTCAGTTTGCTCCTTTGATGAATAGGTGAGGGAGGATCTGCTCAATGGCTCCTTTCACTCTGCTCTTTACCTGAGCAGGGGCCCCCTGAACTGCTGTTAATAAGCTCAGTGTCTACCTTGCAAAGCCCAGAAAGGAAATCCCTCCTCTACAAAGTGGCTTGGGCTCCTTTTGCAGAGAGGATGAATGCAAAGAACGCCCCTCCCATCTCTCTCCCATCCCTTCTCCTCTCCTGTTCCTCACTGTCCTTTTTAGCATACTCTGCGTTGCTAAGACGATTTCATTAAACTAAAACAACTTCCTATGTCCCCAGGTCATTTCTTTCCCTGCCTTGTTTTCGTGTGCCTTCTTTTCTCTGTAGTCTATTCAAATACATTTTCTGTAATGGCTGGATATGGAGCTGGGATGCAAACTCAAAAAGAATGGTATTATTTTATTTGCATATTTCCATAATTTCTCCAGCAATATGATGGATGGGAGTGGTAGAGGAGTTTCAGATGTCAAATTTGCGGGTAGGATATATCAGAAAGTTGTCTCTTTGCTAATTTAAAATAATTCATTATAAACACTATGATGCACATATATGTAAGTTAACTCTAATATCCATTCTAGGGGTCCTGGATAGCATGTGAAGGAACCGAATCAGGAAACCACCATCTTGAAGTGGTTATGTAAGCATTATAAATATTCTTATAGCAATCTACTCCAGAGGGTGTGTCAATTAGCATAAATGATGTAAGAAAGACTTTTTATTGACTAAATGAGTAGTCTCAAGCTATGATGTTGGATAGAAGACTGTATCAGGTCCCGCCACCCTTGCACGGGAATAGTGTACCTTTCCAGTGAGTCCATAAACCCTGCATGTTGGGACAGTGCTCTAGGTCCAGAAGTCCATTTGGCCTTGCCTCCTTCCACTGTATGGATGGAAGTGGGGGGGCTCTGCTGCCTGATCCTACCAGAAGCCAAACTAAACCTTTGTCAGAATATTGGGATGTCTGCCTTCTTCTCATGTAAGGTACTTGTTAGTATTTGAATGTGGGGATTAAAGGAAAGGTTTGATGACGGTTTTGGTGCCTGCTTGCTAATGAAGGTTTTATGTGAGGCAGAAATTGCCCTAAGACTAGCTTTCATCATAAGGAACTGCCTGGGAGTGAGGTGGTGGAGGAAAGGGCCGTAGAGGCTCCACCATCCTCTAACCCCAGGTATTTACCAGTATTTACCACAGGAACCCAGTAATTACTGAATGGTCAAATTGGCTTAGGTCAACTTGCAACTCACATCTTCAGCCATGTTTTATAAATGTTCTTGATGAAGATAAAAAGTAAATAGGTCCTAGTGGCTAGTAGAGGGACACAAGAGGTGAGATTTCCCCTCAAACTTGTCTTTTGATCTACCTAAGAATTCTGACAGTCCAGACTTCTTGGTGCCTTTCATCTCGCTCATCTGGGAACGTGGTGGACACAAAATGGTGAGACTGGGGTTTTCCAAGGTAATAATGTTACCAAACCAAAGTGGGTTCACTTCTTGGTGAGTTGAAATCAAAGCCTTCACCAGAAGTAGTTGTCACGCTAAGTAAATTTATTTGCAGCAAATAAGGAGACCACAGGGAATCACTTCTAAAGCCACAACTTCCCAAGCAAGGGAATGTGGGGCCTTTTATTTTGCATGGGGAATGAACATCCAAAAGGAAAGTTTCATCATCACATGTAGAGGTGGGTATAAGCTTATGCAGGCGTAGTTTGAAAACGTGCTTTCACATACATCTCCTACTATGCTAACAAGGCTTAAGCTCCTCTTGGGGCAGAGATCTTAACATTAAAATGAAGCAAAGGTAACTCTTGGACACTTCTTGGCCAGTCTGTGCAGGCATCGCTCTTGAGGTGGGGTTTGAACCAGTTCAGGGTGGTTGGTGATTGCACCTCTTAACATAATGGAAAAACAACTTTAAGAAACAGTTAAATACTTTCGAAACTTCCTGTGAGTTACTTGGGGCATTTAGTTGATAACAATAACGGCTATTGAATAAAGCAGAATTCTCTCAAGGGTAAATGAAATTCAGGCCTGGGGAGTCCAGGACAAAGAATCAAATATTATTCTCAAATGTGATTTTTGGCCTAGAGGCCATTGGTACCTGAGGCCAGGCTGATGCTACAGAAGGAAGATAATGAGATGAAGTTTCAAATTACAGCATCATCATAGAAAATGTTCCTCTTGGCCAAGGCGCCCCCTGAGTAGAGTGGCTGATCTTGGTTTTGGCCGATGAAGGGTGATTCCCAGAAGATAAGTAATGACCCTTCAGGAAAGGTCAGGTTTCTAAAGGCCAGATGAGGGAGGACACCCTAGGTTATGGGACTGAGGAAGATAGTGTCCATACAGATTGACTGATATATTTTTAGTAATACAGATGACTCTAAAACACAGAGAGAGATTATCTTTGCCCTTATATTATTGCGAGGGGGAAGGAGGGCGACAAAACACACTCCAAGCCCAGTGAGGGGGATGCCTCAGCAATTCTCTCTTCTGGCCTGGGAAGTGCACGGAGGGAGAGGTAGCTACTGGAAGACGTTGTTTTTCTCTTTTTCAGTTTGAAATATTTGGGGGCAGGTGAGTTGGCATAGAGCAAACATAATTACATGTTAACTTCAAAGTTGGAAAATACCATGTACGTTAAATTCCATAACCTGCCAGGAAGGAAATTGTTCATGTTGACCTAATTTTATTTCTGATCTGCCTACCATTGTTTAGAATTAAAATGTTGATGGTTGACTTTATAATTCAATGCTTTTATTGGAAAACAATTTTTAAAATGACAATATACTACAGAATAGAACATGCCTTGCCCCAATTATATATTTTACAAGTAACTGATAATTATGGATAGTGGGTGGCCACTTAGTAGAGAATTTAAAATCTTTTCAAAAAGAAAAACTATAGGGGCTGGCCCCGTGGCCGAGTGGTTAAGTTCGCACGCTCTGCTGCAGGCGGCCCAGTGTTTCGTTGGTTCGAATCCTGGGCGCGGACATGGCACTGCTCATCAGACCACGCTGAGGCAGCGTCCCACATGCCACAACTAGAAGAACCCACAACGAAGAATACACAACTATGTACCGGGGGGCTTTGGGGAGAAAAAGGAAAAAATAAAATCTTTAAAAAAAAAAAAAAAAAAAAAAAAAAAAAAAAAAAAAAAAAAAAAAAGAAAAACTATAGAATCAGCCATTTTTGTCTTTTTTTAAGTTTTTGGTCTTTTATTTTTATCATTATTATTCATTTATCATTATTAATCACTGTTTCTTTATCTTCTTGTTTTCATGCATTGACTCAAGCAAGTTTGTGTCTAAATTTCTGGTTAGATGCAACATTATTTCACAAAAACTGCCAGGTTCATTTTATTTTAGGTGCTAGGGAAGACGCTGAAAAGCAGAGATCAAAGGAATCTTAGTAATCATTCAATACAACCCTCTCACTTTAAAGATGGAGAAACTGATGTCAAGAAAAATGATACAGTTTATCCAAGGTTGCACAGCCAGTTAGTGGAAAAGATGGATTGAGAACCCAAATCTCACGACTCTTGGGCCAGGGCTCCTTTCCCCACAGCACACTGCTCTTAATTTCCTTGTCTATGTTATATTTTAAAATTCTGACTCTTCTCCATTGAATGAATATAGACCTTTTAAATTTTTGCATCAAGATGGAATTTTCCTCATTCCTACCCCTTGCCTTTTCTCCTCTCCTCATACCTTGTAGGATCTTTGGGAGGAATTAAAGGGAGATTTTTTTTTTGTACACCCAATAAAAGTCAGGAGAGGGAGATAGCCAACATAAGCAAGATTCGTTTGTCTTGTAGATGCTGTAGTTTGAGGAAGCTGAAAGACACAAAGGTTTTAAGATCAGGTATAGGCTCCCAGGTTGGAAGCCAGGACACTTAGGTCAGATCTTGAGAACAGGCAGAGACCAAGGGGATGTTAGAGGTGGAGTCAAGGAAGAGAGACTAGAGAGAGAAGGGAATTGGCTACCCATCCAAAGAGGACCCTATGCGGACTGATAGCAGACTTGGCACCATCCTTTAGACTCCATGTGGTTGGGTGATTAGCTAATCATAGGAATCTCTTTTTTGGTAATAGGCTCTATTGGTACAGTTATGGGTCTAATTAAAGAGCTACATTGAAAATTTGGGCATATTGGCAAGTTTGGGTTTTAATATTACTACTCTGCTATTTGGAATCCTGTCCCATTCCAGCTAACCTGGGCATTCCTAAAATAGCTCTTATTATCCATATGTCGGGCTGTCCCATAGAATATCTGCTTAAGAGGGGTTCAGAGGACTGTACAGGCTGAATAAGTGGAGTGATCCTTGGAGTGATCCTTTTTTCTCAATGCATTCCCACCAGCTGACTTCTAGACTATTTCACCTTGCATGAGCATAAGGTAGTGTAAAGCCTGTAGACTTTGACGTTAGACAGATTCAAATTCTAATCTCAACTCATTACTCCCTAGTTGAGGACAGAGTTTCTTTAACTACCTAAGTTTCAATTTTCTCATTTCTAAAATGACAATAATAATATATACTTTGTAGGATTGTTGCGAGAATTAAATATTATGGGTAACACATTTGGGACAGTGCTTGGCACACAACTGTCAATAAATGATGACTTTCATTTTTCTGGCACTGCTGAGGGAAGAGGGGAGGGGATGAAAGTCTGAGGAAAAAAGGGCAGGAGTTTCTTTCTCCTTGAATGGAGGAGGGTTGGGAGTTGGTAGGGGTGCCTGGTCAGAATAATGAGTTGGCCAAGAAAAGGATGGATGGAGAGAGGAAAAGAAGGATAAGGTGTGAAAACAGGCAAGATCCCCAGAAAGCAGAGTAGGAAATCCATGAGCAGTGACAGAAGGTGGTTCTATAACCCCTTGATGCTGCAAATGTGGTCCTTGGACCAGCAGCACTGGCCTCACCTGGGAGAATCTCAGGCCCCTCCCCAGACCTTCTGAATCAGAATCCTCATTTTAACAAGATCCCCAGGTGATTCCTACGTCCCCTCAATCTAGTGAAGTTGTTTTCATCTCCTGGGAGTTTGAGCGGATTCAAATCGACAGGAAGGCCCTCAGGACTTTGTGTGGTCTCTGAATTTATCAGAAAGATTTCCCAACTAAGTGGATGAGGTCCAGGATCCAAGATGGGTCACTCCCCTTGGCACTCTGATCTGGACAGAGGTTTTCCAAGCCAGAGTCAGGCTGCAGGATCTGAGGGCTTCTTAGAACTTCTCGTCTGGTTCCCAAGTGACAGGTGTGGAGGAACTAGGAAGTGGAGTGGTTAACATTCTTTCTCTATTGAGGAAACAGGAAGAGAATTAGGATCATCCTTTAGACACATCTGGTAATCCTGGGAGGCACCCTGCCTAATAGGCATCCTGCCACCTGTCCCTTCAGCTCCTGGTACCCTTCCTTGCTTCTGAACAATGGAAGCATTTTTGTCTGTGCCCTGAATTTAGGGTCTTCATCACAGGTGCTGGGAAAGAACACGGGACTAATGCCCTCGGTGCCACTTCACCTCCCTGTTCCCTGTTCTCCTTATAAGTAATAAAGGCTGAAAATTGTGATGTGAGGTCCCCAGGTTTCCCAGTGCAGTGGGGACTAGAACTGTGGCCTTCTGATGACTATTCCTACTGGATTGCACTCAAGATAGCAGCCACACAGCTCATAAAAATGAGAGACGTTGCTGGGTATAAAATAAGAAAGTGTTGGATCTGGAGCCAACGAGAGAGCACTTACGCCATCAAAACAGAGGCAGTCTTCACTCAGTCCTGACAGTTGTCAGGGCCCAGGGTAGCCGGACAATCTTTTCTCCAAGAAAAGCTAGAGTCCAGACTTTCATATCAAATTTTCTAATTTTAAAGGCTGACAGTGAATTCATTTTAAACAAAGGAAAAACCTGCTGCTCATATAAACACATCTGAGAGTGGGGTGCTGCCCACAGGCTGCCAGTGTGTGACCTCCTTCTCAAGCCTTTTAAGAGGAGAACTGAAATTTTCAACAGACTGGAAATAGGCAAACGAGACAAAGACTCTTGACTTGTTTACCCCAGCATGGCAGGCCCCAGTGATGCCTGCCCTAGGAGGACAAAGATGCCAATTTATCCCCCTGGATGGACAGTATGAATGAAATATTGTTGTCATTACCCTTTCTATTGCAACTGAATACAAAAATACAAAGCATTCAATAAGTCACACGTTATGGGATGAAAACAGCCTATCCTAATGAGTTGATTAATCATTGTCAGCCTCTTGTTGTGAGCTGATACATGAGTAATGTATGTTCTGAGTATTGATTGCATCCAAGCTAGGATTCCTTTGAGGCCATCACCTGAAGGACACTGTGACCAGAGAGGTCCACCTCAAGTTACTGCCTCTTGCAAAGTGATAATGGGGTGCACAGCCAGGTGTAATTTAAGCACATCTTCCTACAGTCAGTGGGTGGTTGTCGCTGCACTGCTATAGCTGTATTGCTTTCAGCTTTAATGGGAATCTTTATTGAAATAGAAACCTAATTCCATTTAGGTTAATAATATGCCCACTCAATCTTCCTTTGCAGAACTAGCCTGATCTTTAAACTTTCCGAGGGAGACTGGCAGTGATTCCTCATTGCAGGTAGATATCTCATCAGATAAAACAGAGTTAGGAAAGACATTTTTACTCTGAGTCATTTTGACTGCTTTTCTTCATAGTGAAAGTGTGGTAACTCTCTCTTATTTCTGAACGCATTGGTGCTAAAATCGTGGTATTGGACCATGAGTCCACTAGTTGGCATTTATCTCCCAGGTGGACCAGCCTGAAGTTCAAGAGTGGGATGAGCTTACACTCAGGTTCAAACCAGGACCATAACTATTTATCCCAACTCTGCTGTTTTAATCCAGGCTCCCCCTGTGTGATTAATGGCTATAGAAATAATTTATGGGGGTTGTAAGGGGGTTCTGGAAATAAAACAACCTGGATGCAATGTCCATCTTTCCCAATCCCAAACCCCAAATTTCTTCCTCTCTGGAGCCAAAAAGCTGCTAACTTCTATGGGTGGCTGGGTGCAAGTGAGGCCTTGTGCTTCCGTGGGTTCCAAGCAGAGCTGTGAGTTTCCGTCTCCTTGTGGGTTGGGCAAGTGCCTGGAGAATCATGTCAAAGGCCAGGAGTGAAGAGTGAAAGGCAACAAATCCTGGGATGAACTAGGCTGGCAGGACTAAAGTCAACACAGGCCCAGTGTGACTATGTGGGGTTTTCCTACCCCAAGATGCCAAGGAGGAACTGAGTGGGGACAGAGTCCTCTATCCTTCTGCTGGCGCAATATGAGAATGTTGGAGGGAGGGGGTTTCCTGCAGGTGCCCAACAGAGTTCTGGCAGCTTTGATAATGCATCCCGTGGGGACTGAGATTTCTTCACCTTCTCCCATCTATGGGAGTCCCACCACTTGGGACACATAAACCACTGTTCTCTGAGACCTAAAGAGCCCACGCAGGAAAATGCCATGCCATCTGAAAGGCCAGCAGCCAGAGAGAGGAGAATCCGTTAGAAAAAGCAAAACATATTCCCAGCAAAATGAAGCTGTGCAGAAGTGTCTGACTGGGGGACGAGTAGGGGTAGGAGCTTTAAAAGAAAAAACAGCAGCTGTTGGTAAGTGCAAAGAGAGGGGGAAATAAACGAGATTCCAAAGGTCTAAGGAAGGGAGGAGAGAGAGAGTAAAATGATTCTAAAGCTCTCTTCTTATAGGAATAAGGCGAATTAGGAGGGAGCTAAAGCATCTCTGTGGGGGAACAATGCATATCGGTGAGGATAATAGTATCTTGTTGTCAGAAAAAATATATATAAATTAAAAATAATTTATATAAGAAGCAGTTGGGTTCCCAGGTCGCCTCTCTTGCCTTACACAGGATGGGTGGCCCCCTACTGCCTCCTGGCAGAAGATTCTCTGAGAGGTTGAACCAGAGGGATTCTGGACTCCAGGATACCAGGCACACCAAGGCAAGGATACCACACTGAAAATGGGGATGAAGAGGAAGATTAGTTACAGAAGGGTGGGATCCCTGGCCCTGGTCTTCTCCTGTGCCTCACCTCCCAGAATGCCAGCAGCCATGCATATGCCTCCCAGGAAGGGAGTTCGAGGTTTCCTCTCTGGGGACCTGACCAGCTCAGGAGAGAAGATCTAAAGATACTGATGGTTAGAAAACCCCAGGGAAACAGACATTACTACAGGAAAGCAAAGCAACCAACAGATTCCACCCACACCCATGGAACTCCAAAACCTCCACTGAGTGCATCAGTCTTAAACATGAGCAGACAACCAAGGATCACCAGACATGTGAGAAATCTAAAATGAAAGGCAGAAAACAAAAAAAAAGAAGAAAAATAATTTTGGAAAAAAAAAAAAGGAAAAAATATAGACAGCAGAAGAAAACTTAAAAAGCCCTCCATATCTCCAGAGAGAAAAGAGAAGATACTATATTCAAGAAACAAAAGAGGCAATTAAAAAGCAACATTTAGAGAACAATCAAAAGAGATCTTGGAGATTAAAAATAAGATAGCAGAAAGGAACAATTCAAGAGAAGAATTGGAAGAAGTATTGTCAAATTTAGCATATAAAAATATGACTCCCAGTTTAATTTGAATTTCAGGTAAACAGCAAATAATTTTTTAGTGTAAGTATGTCCCATGAAATACGTAGCTTATCTGAAATTAAAATTTACCCAGGTATTGTGTGTTTTATCTAGTAACCTAGTTGGAAGACAAAGTTGATGAAATCTCCAAGAAAGTATAACCAGAGAGAGAAGATAATAAATTTAAGGATTAGTTGAGGAAGTTCAATATTTGAATGATAAGGAGTTCCAGAAAAGGAGAACAGAGAATATAGAGGGAATAAATTATCAAGGGAATTCCCAGATCTCTGAGAGTCTACCCAGAGCCAAGCACAAAGGATAAAAAAAATCCCTGACAAAGCACATCATTATGAAATTGCATAGCACTGAGGACAGAACAGTGAAAGATCAAGCCACATACAGACAATCAGGAATGAGAATGGCAACATTTTTCTGTAGAAAACAATGGAGCAATGCCTTCTGAATTCTCACAGAAAATTCATTTCCAGTCTAGAATTCTACACCCAGTTAAACAGACTATCAAATCTGAAGGCACAGTAAAAACTTTTTCCAGAACCTTCACGACCTCAAAAAACTTAACTTCCATATACCCTTTCTCAGAAAGCTATTGCAGGATCTGCCCCATCAAAATGTGAGGGTTAGCCAAGAAAGAAGATAAAGACCCCAGGAGGGAGAAGAAGGTAATCCCTGAGATGATGAAAAAGGGAGATCTTAGGATGACAGGTGTACAGCAAGCCTAGAGAATTATCACTCCTGACGGGAGGAGGACAGAAGGCTCCAGATCGGGTATCTATTCAGAAAAGATGAATTTTATAGAATATCTGATGTTTGGAAGTATTGAGATGAGATTTTAATACGTCAGAGAGTTTGGTTGTGAATTAGTGATTGATATATAGGAAAATTAAGAAAGTGAGAAAATCATTAACTCTAGAGAAAACCAAAAGTTGTACAAGAAGGAAATTTAATCACAGTTCATTTCCTGACTTAGTTGGGAATAAGATTTACATAGACATAATAATGTAAACGCAACATTAATCAACCAACCAAACTTATGATATCATTAGAGAGTATGGAGAAGAGTGTATTTGTATGCGTGAGTGTGCCTGCAGGTGTGGGGGGTGTGTTTGTGTGTGTGTGTGGATAGAGTTTGTGTGGCTAAAGAAGCTAAATCTCATAATTCAATAGTTGGAAGACTCTACATGATATCAAAAGCTGAAATATCAAGAAATAGGTGTATACGCAAGCCATTTAGAAATAGAAAAACAAATGCCAGAAGAAACAGATACAAAAGTTGTAAGTGGTTGTCTTCTAGAGAGTGGGAATTATGAAGTAGGTAGGGGCAAATGCATGGACTACTATTTTGTATTGTAAGTTTTGTGGAACTATTTGACTCTTTAAAACTATTTACCTTAGTTTAAAAAAAGTTTAAAAGTTTTAAATGTTACAGATTTTATTTTACATAGAATCTAGCGATATATGCAAAGAACAGTATCCTTGACCATGCAGGATTTATTCTATGAATTCAAGGGTGAGTCAATATCAGGTAATCTATCAGCATAATCTATTCTATCAACAAACTGAATTTTTAAAAATAATCATATCAATAAAAATATTTTAATAAAATTTAGCAGACATTCCTAATAAAATTTTTAAATAAATAAGAAACAGAAGAAAAATGATAAAGTCTATAAAAATTATAAAACACATTACAGACAACAAAAAAATACAAATATTACCATAAATGGCAAAAGGAGAATCATAAACTTTTTCTGTGAAGAATTTTAAGCTATATCTTTCCTATAATCCCCAAAATGTGAAGGACCACCTGCATCAGAAGTACTTGTTCTGGAGTCTCAGGGGTCTACATTTTAAACAAGAGCCCCAGCTAATTTTGTTTTGATTACCTTCGAGAACCACTGTTTAGGTCAACAGAAGTTACCAGAGGGTTCAAACCAAGGAGCAACAAAACCAGATTTTCAAAGACCTCTTCCTTCCTCTTCTCCTCCCAGCCCACCCACCCTCCTGTCATTACAGTGAGGGACAATAGGGTTGTTACTCTAAGTCAACGACACCATTTCCTATGGAAAATTTGGGTCACGTTGCCATTCGATGCCAGAAAAGTTACTGGAAGTGGCCTTGATTCCTGGAGCATCGTGCTTTATCTGATTCATGGTAAACAGCAAGATAACATCTTCCTGGGACAGAGAGAGAAATAAATGCTGTGTCTTGTCTGCAAATCTGAAGCTGGTCTATCCTGACTTTGGAAGTTTTGGGTTTTTTTTAGAATTTCATAATAGCAAACCTTAAAACAGCTCTCAGAGGTGGTCACTGTCATTTTTGCAAGTGCTGGAGGACATCTCAGGGCAGGGCAAGTCCTCTGGGTAGGTCTCAGAGCCCAGCTGGAGCCGTTTTCATGCAGAATTTGTGACATCAGTCTAGGGAGGCAGATGGGCTATCTCTAGAGATCTGGGGAGTACCAAGCCCTAGGGAGCCACAGGGCATCTCAGGAAACTTACATAACAACAACAATAACAAACCGTCTTTCTGACAAGGTGGTTCTGTGCAGAGCAAAGGAAGTGACCGAGGTGACCTAGAGAAGCCTCGCCCAGCCCTGGGAGATGTTTTGAACAGAAACTCTAGGCGGTGCTCCTGAACCTTCAGCTACACCAGAATCACGTAGAGGGTTTGTTAAACCCCATCGCTGAGTTCCATCCCAAAGATTCTGATTCAGTAGAGCTGGGCGCAGCTTGAGATTTGGCATTTCTAACAAGTTCCCAGGTGCTGCTGCCGCTGCTCCGGGGACCACAAATGAAGAACCACTGCCCTGTAGTAGGCAAAGGAAATCTGCTCAGCAAGATCCCTTTTGCTGGGGCAATGGCCAGATGACTCTACGAAGGAGAAAAGCCGGGGGTGCCAATGGGATGCATGCTGGGGTCACTCTCAGAGGTCTGCAGGGCTGTAATAAAATACTCCTCTTGAGGACAAGAAATGGACTTGGGCCTTCTTGGCCAGATAGCTATGCACCTGGTTACATCAATCAAACGTCAAACGTCTGACGAGTGACTATCATAATTATAGCTACATTTGTTACGTGCTATCTGTATGCTAGGCATGCCACAGACATTTAATCTTGATGTCAGCCCTGTGACTCTCTCACGCTGACCTTGCTAGGTACATCCCACCCCAGGGCCTTGGTACTGGCTGGTCCCTTAGCCTGGAACATGCTTTCCCCACACAGCTCTCTCCTACTCTCCTTTCAGGTTTTTGCACAAATACCATCTTGTCAGGGAGGCCTGTCCTGGCCACCCTGCCTAGAATCTCAACCCCCACCCCTGCCCCAAAGCTTCCATTCCCACCTTCATGGCTTTATTTTCTCTCTTGAGCCCTTATCACTAAGGTTCTGTATATTTTGCTTGTTTGGTTTATTATCTGCTTCCCTCATTAGCACGTAAGCACAAGGGCAGGGAGGTGTCACTGTTGTTTTCCTGGAACCTAGAACTATCTGGTACATAGTTAATAGCCCAGACTTACTGGGAAAATGAAGAAATGAAAGCTTCAGAGAGCCAAGCCTTGCTTTGCAAAAGATGTGCAGAATTTTGGTATCGTGATGATCAGAGCCCATCGATTAAAAAGCATTCACATCTGGCATTATTTCATTGGAGCTGTTCAACTGTGAGGGAGGAAAATAAGTAGAAATTCAAACAAAGAGAGGATGGAAACTGGAGGTTAGGGAGCGGGAGCAGGCTGGGCTGAGTAGAAGCCTGGGCAGTGGCACCACTCACCTCGGCCCTGCGGGGAGTTGTCCCCCAAGTCTCCCGCCAAGGGTGGCTCTGAGTGGGTGAGTGTGTCCCCCGGGCTCTTACTGGGGGCAGGAAACAGCTGCTGCAGTCAGCAAGCCTGGAAAAACCCTGCCCAGCCCAGCTGCTGGAAAGCAGGACTGGTTTCTGAACTGACAAAGAAGGGTTAGTTGAAAAGAGTAGCTTTCAAATAGCCAAACCAGCTCACACTGGAGAGAACTAGGAACTAGGTTTTCTCCCAGAAGCAGCAGCTGGCACAGCAGCATTGTGGCACAGAAGGCACAGGGTCAAGGAGAAGCCAGCCGTGAGCTAGCAACCAGACTCCTGAGGCAAAAGGAAGAATGTAGACTCGTGATTTAACTGTGTAAACAGACTCAGTTTGATTGGAAACGTTGTCTGATAGAGTCCATGCCACGTGGAAAACATTAAACATTTGCTCTCTCGGTACCCGTTTCACCGGACAGGCTGCAGTGTTGACTATTTTGCAATAATATATAAATTCAGTTCGTTAACGAACTCCAGGGAGAATCCACGTGCCCTGGCCAGCGTGGCTTGTCTCATATTTGAACAAGAAAAAAAAAGAAAGTGCCTGAACCGTTGAGTTCACAGGGCACACAGGCAGGTGCTCGAGTCACGCTTCGCAGCACAGCACCCAAGCGAGGAAAGAGGAGAAAGAATAGAAATAATTGTAAAGCCAATAAACAGACTTCACCCACAGTGATCAACTGACCAACAACTAGATTCAGTTCAACTCCACGAACAGTAATTGTAGAATCAACATAGAGTGGAAAATCCTTCTCTAAATAAAAGCCAAAGTGGGATAGTGATGATTGGGTCCCCAAAGGTACAAGTCCTCAGGTTGTGGAGCAGGCAATTTGGCACACCTTACTTCCTATCTCCATCAAGAAAAGACTGAGGACCCACTGTGGATGCAGAGGGAAGCCTGCGTGTTTGGCCGGCAATCGCAATGCTAAGATGCAGGAAGCTGAGTGGAGCCAAAGAGAGTAGCTGGCAAGTGGCTGACGGCTTGGTCTACGGTAACAGAACCGTTAAGAGGGGTGGTTTAATAAGGGCTCCATGGTCAAATATGTGTGGGACGTATCAGGTTACACAGGGTTAAACTGGTCTCTTTCCTGTATTCTTTGATAGGCTCATGTGCACTGGGAATCCACGAGAGGCCTACAGTACAGAGTGTTTCTCAAATATTGGACTGTAGAAGCCTTTTTTCAAAAGCCAAGCCCATTTATCCCTCTGCACCTATGTTGGGGAGAAAGGCTATGGGCTAAGTGTGACCGTTTATAAGTAGATTCTGTTAGATCAGTAGGGAAATGTGGTCACCACGCTATTAGTGATTCTTGAAATGGATATTAAACTTCCTTAAGCCTCTAAACCTGACTGTGACAAACAGTGACCTGGAGAGGATGCTTCCGTCCAGACAGGAGAACTCAGGGTAGGCTTTTGCGGGATATACTCTCCCGCTGCAAAGCTTGAAACCAGACCTGCCGTTGGAGTCGAGTTCTTCTTTTTAAATGCTGTCGGCAACTTACCAAGTTGATTTTATCCATCTCTAAAGGGTTGCAATTTGCAATTTGAAAAATACTAAATTCTATCTAAAGGTAGTACCTAACACCTTCTTCATGCAATACAAGATCTTGACAAGACCCGTGCTTTTGGAAAAGAACAGAGAGAACTATAGTTAAAACCTACTAAAATGGTGTTTTCAAATTTTAAATGTGATGCCATATTCTCATGTTATGCTGTAAACAGTTCACAGCTATTCTCGATTTTGTTCTAATTGAGATCACAGGTGAGCACCCAGATAACAGGCACGATGTGGATTCAGTCTGCTCCATGTTGGGAGGCTCCTCGGGGATCCCAGGGTACGTAGCCTTGCCTAATGGGGGCTCTTTCTTCCCTTTGCTTCTCAATTAGCATCTTCATGTCATTCCTTGACACTGAGCAGAGGCTCGGCCTCTGAGGGAAAGCTGACCCAACTAACCAAACCTAACTCAGCACCCCAGATGGTCTCCTGGTGCCTCAAGAAAGGTGAGAAAGGTTAATGATAAAAAAGATTCTCTTGAGCCAGCCCTGATGGCCTAGTGATCAAAGTTCGGCAGCCCAGGTTCAGTTCCTGGTCGTGGAACTACTCCACTCATCCATCAGGAGCCACGATGTGTTGGTGGCTCACACAGAAGAACTAGAAGCACTTACAACTAGAATATACGACTACGTACTGGGGCTTTGGGGAGACAAAAAAAAAAAATTCTCTTAACACCTTTCCACCATATCAGAAAGGACTGTGCCTCAAGGCCCTGGCCCTAATCCCCACCCCTGGGTGCAGCTCTGGAGGCCAGTCAGCGGCTCCTCCCCACCCTTTGGTGCACTGAGGGCACTTCTAACAGAATTTTTTTTAACTGACAATTGAATGTGATATTTTGCAAAGCACTGTGGTTTTTCAAGGTTTTTAGAAGGGTCTGGAAAATCTTTGTATTCTCAGTTTTCCTTTTACACTCTCTTTATTCTCTTCTGGATTCGCTTGATTTCCTTCTAAGCATTTTGGCCGTGGAGTTCTCCATTATTGTCCCTTGGAGTAATATCTGAAATATAAAACACAATCTCGTTGTTTGGAAAATTAAAAGAAAAATGGAAGTGCAGGTAATGGGCCCTGAGGAGCCTCTGGAGAGAAGTGAGGTGGTGGGGGGGGGGTGCTGGGGAGAGGCGGTAGTCCAGTCAGAAGGGCAAATGATTCGCTGTAATTTCAAGAGTGAAAAAAGTGCATTTTACCATGCTAAATCAATTTAACTGTTCAAATGATTATTGCTCCCCTGGTGTGTATAAAAACACAAAAAATGAAAGGAGACAGACTCATACAGACTTGAAGAGTTTTCAGAAACCAGCATACTCACAGTCTGTTTTGGTTTTGCCCAATGTTATGAATCCTAACTTTTCAATTTTACTGTCTACAGAAACAAGACAGTAGAGCATGGTGGTCAAGGGGGAGATCTGCCACTGACGCACTGTGTGACCTTGGGCAAGTCTTGTCACCTTGCCAAGTCTCAGTTTCCTCCTTTTTAAATGGGGATTATTCATGACCGTGCTTACCATCTAGGGTTATTGTCAGGATTTAATGAAGTCCTGTGTGGAGAGCACTTACTAAGAAATCTGTCACATGGTGAAGGCTCAATGAATTTTATGACACTTTACGTGAATAGAGTTACTGCAAGTCAACCAGGATTCGGTCTTTGGCAGAGTTGCGTGAAAGCCATGCAAGAGAAGTGCCTGTGGTTCTTTTGCTCCATGTACCAAGCACCGCAGATTTCAACCGGGAGCAATTTGCCCTTCAAGGGACCTTTTCAATGTTTGGAGACATTTTTGGTTGTCATTCTGCTGTGTGTGTGGGAGTGCTATTGGCATCTAGTGGGTAGAGGCCAGAGATGCTGCTTAAGATCCTACGTTGCACAGGACAGCCCCACGACAAAGAATTATCTGGTCCAAAATGCCAATCATGCCAAAGTTTAAAAAACACTGACCTAGCACAGACTCTTTAATATCTTAGGACTAGGGTTATACTTTTCTTTATGGCTGAAAAAAGAGCTGTAAATGAAGTCTCAAGAGAAAAAAAGAAAAGTCTCAATTCCCTAAGGGTCAAACCTCATTGGCAGAGTTGGGGCAGAATTAGGAAATGCAGATTTTAGCCTGGTAGTTAATACTGGAAACAGAATCCTGGTATTTATCCACAACTGTTCAGGCTTTCAATGTTGAGGTGAATTGGTGGGAGCCCAATGAAAGTTAGACCATGGGGAGAGTTAGACCAATGAAAGCACGACTCACTTGGAAGGATTTAGTTTGGCGGCAAGGGAAAATTTTGATGTTAACCTTGGTCCTGAGATTAAAGCACAGATATGCTGAATCTAAGAGGAGTATCTTGATTGATAATCCCTTAAATCCACTTAAAAGTAAATATAAATCAAGGCGAAACCTTCCAGGAAGGCTTGTTTTGATTCAAACAAATATACTAAATTTTGCATGATTCTCCCAGATTTCCACAAATCAGATCCAAAGGCTTTCTAGACCATTGTTGACAATAGCTCCAAAGAGGAAAGTATATCCTTATGTCTTGACAATATCCTACCTTCAATTTGTGATCAAAACATAATAAGATAAGCAGAGAAATAGGCTGAGAAATGAGCTGGCATCATGTGGTGTCACTGATTGTCGGGGTGCGACCACCTTTCTTAGTCATCTCAAGAGAAGCAGTTCAATGGAGAACGGACTGCTCTGTCTCTGTGAGACGCAAACCTATGTACTCCAGAGTCACTCCTTGCTCTTCTCTAGCAGAGAGAAGAGCAGGCAGCAACAGAATCTCTAGGGTGCATATCGGCAGGCAGTTGTGTGAGGGCCAATCCTAGGGCTAGTGAAAGCAAGGTTGAAGGATGGTGTGCCTGACCCGAACAGCAGAGTTGAAAGCCCCTGTGAAATGGCACATGACCTTCCCATGTTACCTGTGCAAGACCCATACACCACTTGCGCTGCCGTTATGGCTTATTCCTGTCTATGAAATCCTGTTGAAAATTTTCTCATGTTTAGCTTTCTGTTGGAGCGTAACCCAGCGTATAACTTCTCCAATGGCAATTTAAAGTTGAAATCATTTTGAAAGGGTACAGAAATGGAATTAGTCTCTTGGTTTTGGGAGGGGCGATGGCAGCATAAAAGGCACACTGACCTTCCACTTTATGAGCAGAAGGCAGGTGTGAGCTTACAAAATAATGTTCCAGAATATTCACAGGTGAATAAAGATTACTCTGTTGTCCCATTTGAATGCAATGCCACTGCTGGGAGTGCCAGAAAGTTTGATTACCTGGTCACCTTTGTTGCAAGAATGGAACTTTGGGTGATCTTCATAATGTTGATAGAAGCTGGTTCAATAAAGTATTTCAAAGCTAGAATGCTCCTCAGAGCACTGAAACTTTTGGTCATAGAAGGAGACATCTGCAAGTAAATGACTTTATGGTAAGCATCATATTTTGAAGAGCTCCCTAACTGACCGTGATATAATAATGACACCTACAAACACTTAGCTTTGGGGAGGCTCTGATGGAACTCACAGATCTGTATGGTCAGAAAAAGGTCTCCTGGTGCCCACGTGAGTGAAAGGGCAGCATGCAATAATGCATGATGGTAGAAAGAGCACTGGCCAGGAACCCAATGACCTGGCCAGCTGCGTGCTTACTGCCTTTGTGATCTCAGACATTCTCTGACCCCTTAGAGTTCAGTCTCATCAGTAA